TTTTTTGAAAAAAATAATTCCTAAGGTCCGATGAAATACCCAAAAAGTAAAATTAACATTTAAGGGTCTTAACAATTGCGGATACCCCTTACATATTGATGATCAGAAATCCAATCCTTCGAGGAAAAAAACATATTTATAAAGTACGTTTTTGCATCCGAGGAAAATAACATTATAGTACGTTTTTGCATCCGATTTCTTAACTTAAGATATACTCTACACCAGAGGTCGCCAAAGTGGTCTATATAAACCCCCAGGGGTCTATTTAACAGAAGTGGGGGTCGATCTGAGCCAGGGGGTCGATCCGAATCGGAAGGGTCGAAGAAAAAACAGTTCATAATATGCAAATCGCACATACCTTATTGAGTATGTAAAATGTGTGAATTTTTTTATGATTGACTTAATATCAGTTTCTTTATGGAACATAAATTAACAAACGTATATTTATTCGGGTGAAACAAGTATTTACGTACCAGCGGTCAGTGGCACGAACTCTGCACTTCTGGTTTATACGTCATATGCATATGTTCGCTTGTCCAAATGTCACTTGCGACGAGCATTGACGTTACAAAAGCAAGTATCATACGCAGTTTCAGCTATCTTTGCAAACTGTGAACAGTGTTGAATATTTGCAGTGTCACTATTAAAACTTTTATAGTTTTGGATAATTAGCTATTGTTTCGATAAAGCCATTCGTTCAATTTAGTATCAATTTTAATTATCAATACATGTAAAAAAGAAGGTAGGCATTAATAATATGGATTTGTACAGCCCGCGACAAAACTAGCACACTTTGTATTTTTTTACGAAAATTACAAAATTTTTGAAAATATTATTATTTTAATCTGATGTGTGCCTTTAACTGTTCTTAATAACAATTTTGTATGAAATAAGTTTAATTTAATTTCCAGTTAGTAGTAAACAGCAATACAACAACAAAGCTGCAATAAAAAGCTGTAACAATTATCGAAGCAATACTGTTAGGCTTCCAAGTTAAATTAAATTTATTTAGATCTTCATCGCTCCGCAAGAATTATCAGTATTTTTCAAATCTGCGACAATTAGAAATAAAAGAAGCCTTGGAAATATATACAGGTCATATTTACTACCAGCCAGATCACGATTTTAGCTTATCAAAATAATTTTTTAAATATATAAATTGAAAATTAGCAATTCTGTAATAAACAATCGGTTTGCATAAACCAAACTTTCAATACGGGTAGAAATATATGTTTGAAGTTAAAGTGGAATAAAATTTTAGGACGAAGGAAGATTCTCTAATAATTTTTCGTCTTTATCTTTAAAAAATCAAGTGTAGAAATGTTACTAATAATCAAAGTGGATGATGGTTTAAAATGAAAGGTTAAAAACGGTTGACCTTTGCAGATAGAAAACAATGCAGATAGAAAACCGTACACTGAAACATATCTAAAAGTAGAACACAAAGAAAACAAGTTTTAAAATTATATTGGAGTTATTCAATGAAAGTATTGTAAATATTAGTAGCAGTACTGGCACAAGACACAACATGCGATGTTGGATTGCATAGTCATAACGAAGTAATTAATAAAATAAAAAATTAGGGTGGCTAGATTATAGTTTGGCTAAGAATCCTCGAATCTTTCGTGAAAACCTCGTAAAAAGGTGTCATTAGGTATAATACTAATATTTAGTAAGTTTCAGCTCAATAAATAAATATTTAGACCCAACTCCCGAGAGTCAAAGTTTGGGAAAAAAATAACTATTTTTCTTTTGCAATAAAATCGAAACTGATAGTTACAGAAACACAAATCTGGACTTAGTAAAAACGAAGAGACTATAAGATAGTAGGGTACATATTGATAAATTTCCTAGTAAAATCAATTTAATGTGTAAATTTTATTAACTGCTGTAAAATGACTCAAGATAGATGTCCATGAATTTGTTACGATATTAGTAAAAAAAATCAGACTAATTTATTTTTTCAATGTAAATAAAGAGTCTTAAGTTGATAGTATTACTATTTTCCCAATAATCACGAAGTCAAAATTATTTGACTGCACGTCTATGACCTCATTAAGCAATTTTTTAGAGAAAATGGCACGTTGGTGTATAAAGGTTCGCCACCCCTGGTCTAGGAAATATTTCCTTTTGTTTAGCGATACCTTCACAAATTCAACTTCAGGAAAAACTGTTGTTTCGCAAAATTCTGAAAATTTTATTTTCGTATCCTGTAAGAAACGATAAATCCATATTTTTGTGTTGATTTAAATTTTTAATTTCCACAAATCAGGTACCTCTCAGAAAAACCCAGACATACCCCTTTTCCTACTAAGTCTTCAAAAATAGAAACAATGCAGACTAGTTTCGCGTAGTTTATCCTAAAATTTAGAATCTAAGTGAATCGCAATGCGAAACTTTTAAATCTGGTAAATACGAAACTCGATTCACGGGAATAAGGATCACAACATGCGACTTTGATAATACAAATGGTAAATACAAAAATCAATGTTTGATATTAAAATAGCGATTTTAATGAGGCGTCAATACTAATATAGATATTGAATTTCAAAATCTTGTAACTAAGCATCGCAATTTACGATATTTAAATCCTGTGAATAAGAATCGCAATGCGCAACTTCGAAATCAGGTAAATACGAAAATCTGATAAAAATAGCGTGATAAGAATCGAGATATTAGCAGATTCTGATTCATAAAAGGCCTGTATTGTTGCTTGGCCATAATAATTATTGTTCTATTACTTCGTTTGGTTTCACGACAGCTAACAGGAAGCAACGACGTCCGAATTACGAATCCCTTTGAAAATCGAAAATAAATATATTTTATCCCAATGACTGAATTTTCACAAAAAGCGGAAAAGCTGAAATTCGAGACTGAAGAGAAAATCTCCTTCAGTCATGCATTGTTAGGGTTTGTGAATATCTTTGCTAGTACTAAGACGAAAGTCAATAAAAAGAAATTCTTATTTTCATATAAGTTCTAAAAACCAATTTTTATCATTTCTGTGGGCTCGTACTAACCCAGAACATTTCATCCTGAATCAACAGAACATCTGACAACTGGATGAGATGTACAAGCGGAATGCAATGGCTTCATGAAAAATATACCAACGCAGAAAAACTATGGATTTAACATATATGGTAGCTTCTTCAAAAGTGACAGTCAATCTGAACAAAATTGCTTCCCCACAGGCCATTGTTTAAGTTTCGAATGGCTAACTGCATGGAGTGTTATCTTCCATATTCTAGCTTTTTTTTTTTCATTTACTGTATTAGATGGCAATCAACTTGAAATAAAAGAGATTGCCAATTGTAAATTTAATAAATTTCCTCCAAAATATGTTTCTGCTCGAAGTATGAGAATTAAAAATATGCTGCTTTTCTTGTATTACTTATGTACCTATTGTTACACTTATTGCTTTGAAAAAAACTGACCATTTACCCTAGTCATACACTATTAAGTTTTTAAAACATGTACCTTTTTGAAGAAAAAAATTCCTTCACATCTATTGTAACATAAATATGGCCTGAAAAAAGTCCATAATTAATTTACGTTAATCTAAATTGATGTAAGGATGTTTTCTAATTCATAATGCTTTAACATTAAAGTTCTGGGTGAATAAAAGTAACATGCAAGAGGCTTATTGCCCCATTTAGCAGTAATTTAAACAGACTACCAACTATAAAGCAAGCAATTAACAGTTAAAAAAAATTTGATAGCAATTCAGAAACGCTTTCTTCTGCATGGTAAGTAAAAATAACAAGAAAACTTATAAGTTAGATTTTCAAAAGAGCCTCAGAAAAAAAAAGTTGCCTAAAAATGTAACTGATGTGTCAAATGAATGTAGCAAATAATCGAAAAGAAAGTTTGTAAGAGAAAAGAACGAAAGGCTAGTTGCAAGATGGATAAAAACATTGGGGTAACTTGCAAACACTGCCACCACTTAAGAATCATTTTGTTAGTTTTATCTAACCCTATGCTTAATTGCACAAGTGCTAAGCTTAAATCCCATTCAACAAGACGTATCTGTCATGAAAATGGTGCATAAATGTAGCATTGGTCAATTCAATAAACAAATCAATTTGTAGAACAAGTTTCGACATTTATTTTATTATCTTATTTACAGAACTTGCAACTTTATCATAAAAACAAGATTAGGAATAATTATACACTGTAATTAGTCAGAACTTAGAGAGCAAGTTCAAAATAAATGGTAATAAATTTTGAATATCTGTCAAACCTCACTGATTACTTGTATGAATGACTCTGTAGATTTAATTGCTAACCATAATCTAATTCCTTATGAGAACCTTGGACAACACTTAAAACCCAGTAACCGAAATGTACAACTAAGAAACTAGCATCATTTGAGTAGATTGCAGCAACAAAAAATAAAATTACAAACTTTATGCTTGACTGATTATGCGAAAATTTTCTACAATTCTAAGAAATAATTAGCAACTTATTTAATAAACAAATATAAAGAGCAGACCTACTGCACTAGAAATAAAAGTTTTATTCATGAGGACAGTATAGCCTATGTACAAGACATGAAAATTATGAAAGATGATTAAATGTTCATGAAAATTATTTAACGGCTGTATGGGTGGTAGGCATTAGCAGCTGCAGCACCTCCAACTGCTGCACCACGTCGAGGAGTCTTGCCGTAGGTACTTGGCTGTTGGCCTGAAAGATTCCATACTATTTTAATAAATCAAAACAAAACCAAAAGATTTTAGAAATAAAGCAACAGTAGAATCATTCACCTCAGTTCCTAATCGTCTTCCCATTTTTTACTGTCTTGGTCAACCTGTTCCCCATTCCTAAGCAGTATAATTTAGATAAAAGAAAATTAAAAACTTTTGAAAAATAAACTAACATTTAAATTACAAAAAATTAAAGGCTCTCAAACTAGAAAGAAATCATAAGTGTAGAATAAGGGAAGATAATTTTTTGGTTAGCGAAGATTATACATGTTGCTTTATTCTTGTTAGTCAAATAAAATTTTAAAAATTAAACAGCAATTCTACTTTCAATACTAAGATTTTATGATGAACTTAATTCTTTTTAAATATCTAACCATCATCTCAAACCATTGGAAGTTTCCAGGAAAATTATATTTTATTAATATTATGGCCTTGGTTTTAAAATGAAAACCATTTGCTCATTAATAGAACACCGCTGTTTTCCTACAATACANGTTTTCCTACAATATAAACCTAACATTAAGATATTATAGAAAACAATCCACAACAGAACTAAATAAGTTCACAGTTTAGCAATCAGATTCCTATCTACAGGTTTAAGAAAAAATATTAACCCTTTAATTGTATTCTACAGCTTGTAACACAAAAAACATTAACAAGTTTTGCTCTAAAATTACTGGCCGAAAATGCAATTATAATTTTTAAAAAACTTTATTTATAGGATGACTAAATTAAATTTCAGAAGTAATCAAGAACAATTAAACTTTTCAGAAAGAACAAGTCTGAACAATTTGCTGTTGTCAACAGCAAATTGACTACTGAAATCTTATAGTTCAAGAGGCTAATTCAGCTATGCATGACAATTAAAATTTTAGACACCTTGTACTTAAAGACATAAAACTAAGCATTCTAGATTGTCAATACAAAGAATCTTTACTTTATGCTAATAAATCATTAAAAGAACTAAATTAAGACTGGATACAAGCAAATGGAACTAAGTATATAACAATTGTAACATAAATAAACTCCTAATAAGATTGAACAGTCAGTCCAATATAGATGGGAAAACTGCAATCAATAGACGTAACTACAGACAAAAGAAAAAAAAAGCAAGCCCTCTAGTAACTTTTGATTTATCAAAATCAATAATATTGCACTCAAATTGACAGGATTATAACATTTATTAAAAACTGATGCACTGCAATTCAGTATTTCAGAATAGTAAAAATCCACAGCAC